GAGCTGAACATCCCAATCTGTATGCTGTTTAACATAAGTTCTAATAGCTGTTCCTACAGTTTTATTCATTCGCTCAACAAAGTTACATTGAGGAGAATACACAGCATTATACCAGATCTTCTGAACTTGGTATTTCTTAGCTAAATCTCTAAATTCTTTCGCAACAAATTGAGGACCATTGTCACAAATTATATGTTGAGGTACTCCATAGGTAAGAAAAACTTCATTCTCAAGATACTTCACAATATAGGGAGATTTTGATGAACGTGTCCGTTGCGTTCATCAAAATCTCCCTATATTGTGAAGTATCTTGAGAATGAAGTTTTTCTTACCTATGGAGTACCTCAACATATAATTTGTGACAGAAGAACATACTTCGAAAACCAATCGCCAACAACTAAAAGCCACTTATGACCCTTTTTTGATCTAGGAAAAGGACCCATAAGATCTAAAGCGATTATCTGAAAAGGCATATTAACTTGCTTTTCTTTTTCCATCTTAACTAACGGCATAGTATTAGAAGATTTTTGAGCTCCGCAAACACGACAACTCCTAACAAATTTAAGAACATCGGCTCTCATCTTGGGCCAATAAAATTGTTCTTGAAGTCTCGATAAAGTCTTATAAAAACCCAAATGCGAACAAGTTGGCGGATTATGACATGATTCGATAATATTACGACGTTGAGGACGTGGAACAACCTGCTTCCATTCTTGAAGATTTGATGAAAATGGTAACTGTACCGGAATAAACTTAAAAAGAAAACCATCTTCAACTTTCCACTGTGGAAATGAACCAGGTGAAGCTAAAATTTTTTGCTTCATAGTCTCATACCATGCGTCAGTATGGTCTAAATCTATATTCAAAACGGAAATTTGCGGACATACAAAAGAATCATTATCTGAAATATCTGAAGGAGAATCATCACTAGGTATTCTACTAAGAAAATCTGGAACTACATTATTTGAACCTTTACGATGAACTAAATCAAATGTAAACTGTCTAAGTCTAACAGACCATCTAGCAAGACGACCAGTATGATTCTGTAATTTATTAAGCCACAAAAGAGAGTAATGATCTGTACAAACGGTAAAACGTACTCCATCAATCCACGGACGAAATTTTTCCAAACTAAAAATAACAGCTAAGCACTCTCGCTCAGTTACACTATAATTGCGCTCGGATCTAGTAAGAGATCTACTAGCATAAGAAATTACACGATCTTCGTCATTAATTTTCTGTATAAGCACTCCACCAAGACCGGTGTTGGATGCGTCTGTTTCTATAATAAAAGGTTTAGAAAAATCCGGTTGGGACAAAATTGGAGCAGAAACAAGAAGTTGTTTAATTTTCAAAAAAGAATCTTCAGCGGCAGGATTCCACTGAACTCCTTGACCTTTCTTTTTACCTTTTAACAAATCATTAATGGGTGAAACTAAAGTTGAAAAATTTCTTATAAAACGACGATACCAACTACACAAACCTATAAATCGTTTTATTTCAGTCGTAGTGGTAGGGCGAGGAAAGTTTAACATGGCTGAAACTTTTTTCTGGATCAGTTCTTAATGAATTAGAGCCAACAATATATCCAAGAAATTTTAAAGATTTTTTAAAAATTCACACTTTTATATTTATAGTTAGATTAGCATCTTTTAACTTATCTCTAACTTCCGAAAGCAATTTAATATGTTCCTCAAAACTAGGTGAACATATGATTATATCATCTAAATAGTAAAAAATGTGTGGTTCATAACGTGGTCCAAAAATAGCATCAACAAGTCTTTGTTGTGTCTGAGCGGCATTGCACAAACCAAATGGCACCGTAGTGAATTGAAATTGACCTCTACCAACTATACTGAAAGCAGTTTTTGGTTTTGAATCCTCTGATAATGGAATTTGCCAGAAATTTCAACGCCTAGAATTTCTACTAAAATATAAGGTCTGTTATCAGAAACCTTTGGACAAAAAAGAGGAGAAACTTTATGATTAGTAGTGGTGGATCTATAAAAATTCTTAACACATAATAACCACTTCTTCCAATCAGATTCTGAAAATAAATTTCTGGGTTTGAATTTTTGATCTGCACGACCAGAAACACGAGTTCGTCCAATTAGTTTTTTTTTGAACATTTGGGACACGCCGGTGACTTAACACCTAAATTACCACATTTAAAACAAAAAACCTTACGTTCCTGTCGACAATCATGGAATGTATGATTTGGACCAGAACAATTCCAACAAACTAAAGGCGAGGTTGCTTCCTTACCTGAATTTTCTACAGATCTGGGCATACTCGAAGAAGTATTTACCATATCAGGGTCAGAAGACGACGACGCTACAGAATAACTAGCAGACCGAACAGTAGTATTTTTATTTTTGTTTTGAGCATTGACATTCTTAGACTTTTTACAAAACTGTACTTGATGAGAATCAGACGAGCTAGAATCAGGAGTGGTATTCAATTGAGAAACATTTAAACTTCTAGATCGTTTTTCATTCTGATGTTTAGCATTTTCTAATTTTCTACACAAATTAGAGTTCAGACACAGATAAAACATCAACTAAAGCTAACTGAGTAATGTATTCAGGAAGTAAATTTTATCTAATAATTTTAATCTTATTAACCTCACTAGGGCATTTACTTAATCTACTAAAAAGATTCTCTAAAGTTGCTATAAAAATTAAAATACTTTCATTTTTTCGCTGTTTATAAGATTTAATTTGTGACCAAATATTATCATCATTATCTGGTGGTAAAAAGTCTTTCTTTAATCTTTCTACAAGAGATTTCCAATCTGCGACATGTTGTTTAATACTTCTATACCAAATAAAAGCATTACCAGTAAAAGTTCTACTGCAGAAGAAAATAAATCTTGTTCACTAACTTTACGTGATTCAGAAAGCTCAGTAACAGTTTCTAAAAATGAAAATAAATCTTGAGGATTACCATTAAATTTAATAGGCCAGTCTGACACTGGACAAGGTTTAGCAACATAAGTAACAATAGGAGGCGGTACATTAATAACTGGTCCTGAAGGAACAGAACTAACGTTTAAAGTTTCATTAATGTCTGAAGTTTTGACAAACAGGTCAGCTTCAAGTTGATAACAACTAGTATAAACATCAGTTTGAATAGTTTCTGCATCAGCACGATTTTTTATCTAAAATTATTCTCTTGATTCTACCAGCCAAATGCGCAAGACGAGATCTTATAACTTTGAACATTGAATCATTTACTCCACCCTCAAATTCAGAAATTGACAAGGAAATTGAATCTAAAGTTGCTTTAATTTCTGAAATTTCTTGATCAAAAGAAACAGGATAATCTTCCATATTAACTAAACAAAAGGGTTATTTACTTCTCTACTTAAAAGACCTGACAAAATTTTACGTTTACTGTCAACATTTTTAGATGTTTTAATACCCTAATAAGAAGTTCGTAACCTAATTCTACTTGTCGTAAATGATTAACTTTAAAAGATTCTTTCTCCATTGTAATTCAGCTATATGAAATACTAAAGACTAAATGATTCAGAAAAACTTACTAATTTTAACAAAAAGCTGTTATGATTCGGCGCAAACTATCAGAAAGAAAATATGTTCAATGTCAAAACCAAAAAAGATTCAAGTATTCGAAACAAAATCCAAAATTTTATGAAATACTAACAGTGCTACCCTGTATACTGAAATTATGTCCACTCTGTATATTCAAAATATAACCATACCTGTATATTTAAATCAAAATCGAAACGTCAATAAAAAATGTAGTCAGAAATACGTATTAAGTTATTTATCTGGGTTTTAAATAGATAAACAAACACCCTCAAGAATTTATAAAACAAAAAAATTGCTGTTGAACTGAAATTATTAGAATTTAATTACAGAAATAATGAAAATAAAATTTCAAAACTATAGTCTTTGTCTTATAGAAAATTTATCTGAGCCTAACAAAAATTATTTTACAAAGTCTACCAAATAAGTGAAGCAAATTAAATTAAATTGAGCCAATTAAACTAAGTCGAGCCAATTAAAACCAAGTAAAGCCCCACGTGACAGGGCGTCATATTCTTTATTCTTCTATTTAGTGTGACGACTTTTTCTGTCATCACTCAAACAGAAAGAAAAAGTATCCGTTGCTCAGGGTTAGAGGAGAGCTGGGTTCGTAGGTAAGGCTTGTGACCTGTGGTGACTTAATAATGTTGTTAAATAATAAAATAAAAGTAATAATGTATAGGCTGCAAAGATTCTAAAATTGATGTTAAGTATTCAAATAGTAATGGTCAAAGACAGTAAAAAGGGCGCCACTTACTTTGGGTATGAACAACTAGTTTCTAATTTATCCATGTTCGTATCGTTAGTTTAAGAATAAAAATTTGCATCTATTCCTGTTTCCGAGATACCAATGCTCGTATCCCTAATTTGTAGCAGCCTGTATAGTTCGTGATATCAGAAGTTGGGTTCCTTACGTTGATAATTTAAATCGCGATCTGCAAGTGCACGATTTATATGTGCATACGATCTATTTTAATATATCTAACAGAGAAAAAAAATCGTGGGTATTTGGGAAGGTTCAAAAGGAAAGAAATACGATTTTTGCGACGAAATATCTTATCGTTCTTGCCAGCGCGAGATTTAGCCATTTGAAGTAGTTTTTCTGTTTGTTTTTTTTTCCTTTTAATAAACAATTTTACGAACTACATTGTACAATTTTTTTGTCTATTATAATATAATAATAATAATAGCTCCCGTATATACCGTTTAACGCCTTGGGAGTAGAAGGACAGCTTGCCATGCTAGAGCCGTTAGGTATAAGGTAATGTGGCTAGCACTACGTTTCAACCGCCTATTATTACATCAGGATTGTGAATCCCAAGTACTCATTTAAGGCTGAGTCGACCTAAGCACCCAAACTATTTTTATTTTATTAAAAACAGTCGGCTGATGAAGTCTACTACCTCTACCACCGGACACCCTGTCCATTATAAACTTTTTAAATTACAGGAGTTCAAACGTAGCAGAGAGCAATTGGACAAAGACGAAGAGGATAAACGATCCTCCAAAGGCAATGGAGGACCACATAGGACACCTTCAGTAGAATCTACTCGCTTCGGACCTTCTGAGTCCACTAATGCTCCTTGCTACGTTCCAGGAGACGATATTCTCCCGATAATAATCAAAGGATCCCACACTGTCCCAACCAACGGAAGCCTGTACAGCCAAAACATATACACGGTTGATGCGGACGATACGCCTAAGATGTGTGACAGCGCATGTCAAACAAGGGAAAGCCTCTTCACAACTCAAGAGTACGTATTGCATCTTATCATTTTATTCATTATCATAATATTCAACAATCAAGTAGTGTGTTACTGGCAAAGTATAAAATTAAACGCATTCTATAAAATTATTTTAGGCCTAAACGAATGTGTATGAAATTTAAATGTTTTTATATAATTTACCTAGACATTTCATGAAATGCCTAAAAATTTCATAGAATATATATCCTATAATATTAGGATAGTGTGAAATAATAAAATAAAAAGTATTAATTAAACTGTACCTCGAATTACAGAAACGTTTAACTTAAACAAAGATAACAAGACCGTAACAAATATCACAAACGTATTTATTTTTAAATCTACTAAAACCGATTTTTCTATTTATTTTTCCAAGGTAAACTAAAATATAATTTAGTTGAACGTCAATATTTTACTCGTTGCGTCACAAGCATGTTTGTCAAATTTACTAAAGGATAAAATTCGCCGTTCTACTGAGATGTTCGGAACAAATCGGGTTGTTCCGGGGAAAAACAAGGAATTACACAAAAATGCTTGAAACCAAAGTAATCAAAACACATTCGTGCTACTAATGGTTTTGTTGCTCTCGGCCTCTTCTGTTCATTTTAATGTACCCTGAAATTTTGTCACTATTTTAATTGCACGATTGAGCTATGATTTCAACCCTTTTTCAAGGTAAAAGTAAAGGCAGTAAGGGCAGTAAAAATTCAAGGCCGTGACACTCGACTCAAGGCAGAATGACGGCTGCGAGACGGTCATAACGGCAGCGAGACGCGCGAGAGGAATAGTGATAGCGGCAGTATTGCCACAGCTACTACATTTAGAGTAGATCTACCCCTTTGTAAAAAAAATGAGCCCCGCTATCTCGTGATAATCTACCCCGATGAAAAATAAGCTTGTGGCAACACTGGGTAACGATCTGTGTGTGATAACCATACGCCACTAAGAAAATCGCTATAATAAAGTTGATATTGTACCAACCTTGTATGCTAGGAAGTAAATGCATATTTTCATCAACAGGTTTGTAGCTTCTGAATAACGGTCTAGGTAAAGTATCTAGCTCATTTGCCAACTCATAATTAGAGTTTAGAGTTAGTAACTCGCATTTTCATTGGAAGACCAAACTAACTGTCATATTTATTTCAAATCAATAATCAAGGAGAATATTCGTATAATTTAACAAAATTACTGTAAATCACTATAAATAATAAATTGTTTGTAATTGAACTGTAATTTCTGTATTATTAATCCGGTAAATGATCGAGATAAATAATTATGGTTGATTAAAATTCCCCAATGTAAATAATGAACAAAACATTTAAACAAATACAGACCACAGACCACACAAAGAAATTGTTGGTTAGTAGCAGTTACTTAGTAGTAGTTAGAGATATACAGAGTCCGGCAATAGTGCGTCGGGTATCTGTTGCTCCTAGAATAAAAAACTTGGGAATTTTGTTTAAGTGCAAACCTAAAGTATGTACTGGGATGTATTTCAGGAAAATATTTTATGGGGATGATTTTTTTAAATGGGACACCCTGTATATTATTTAATTTTTGGCTTCTTTTCAGATCACTTTACATAAACCTAAGACATGAGTAAATATATTTCGATAATATATTCCCGAGATATTAATAAATAAAAATTATATATTTCTCAGCCTTCCTTAAAAAATGATTAATAATACAAGAACTGTCCTGAAATCAAAACTGTATTATCATACAGGATGTTCTAAATTGTACGGCAAACTTTCTAAAATATACAATAATTTTTATTTGTTTTTTTTTAAATGAGACACCCTGTATCTTTTCATTAGATGGAAAATTAAAAAATGAACATTTTTTGCATTTAGAGTATTTCAAAATTTTTAACGGTAAATTTTTATCAAAGCCCCACCCAATGATTTTTCTCTCATATTTTACTTAAATAATACTGCGTGTATCCGGAAAACTATTAAACATTTTGAAATACTTTAAATACAAAAAATGTTCATTTTTTAAATCTCATCAAATAAAAAAAACGAAGTAAAATTATTTTATATTTTTAAAAGTTTGGGTTAAAATATTGAACATCATGTATGATTTACGATTACCATATTTATAGCAGTTTTGATTTCAGAGCAGTTCTTGTATTTTTAATATTTTTTTAAGAGGGGTTGAAAAATATATATTTTTGATTTATTCTTTAATATCTCTGAAACTATTGAAATAGATTTACTCATATCTTAGGATTATGTAAAGTGATCTTAAAGAAAGCCAAAAATGCAATAATATACAGGGTATTCCATTTAAAATAGGTCATCCAGAGCCACTCACACTTTTTTGAGCCATTCTATAGAAGTTGAAATATTTTCGTGAAATTCATCGTAGTACATAGTTTAGGTTTGCACTTAATCAAAATTCCCAAGTTTTTTATTGTAGGAGCTACAGATGCCCGACGCACCATTGCCGGACCCTGTATATGTAGTAGTATTTTTGTTTAATGGCCACAGCTGCCAGGCTATCCGGCCGAGTGAAAGAATTATCGTTTTTTTAATAAAAATTAAAAAACATTATAAACTTATAAAACTATAATAGTATGGCTTTATATTAACTCTAATTTATTTGAAGTTTATAAAAAGCATTCATAAAAAATATATATCCTTCAAATCCTTCAATTGAATAGCTGTTGGTAAGAAGTTTTAGTTAAAATATGCGCACGTGGTGCACACAATTTTTTTAAGCACAATTTTGCCTTCACGTAAGATGGGCTAGCACCATGTAATTTGTGAGACCGAAAACTGTTATGGACTGCCCAGAAGCAATGTCCTAGCTGCGTCCAGGCAGTAGAACTCTGTGCTGAGTGCCAAGCCACATCAATTTGGTGGACAACCAAGAATCGGACGGACTCGCCAAAGAGGGGGCCAGGTGATAGGCCGTGGCAGACGACACGCCACTTGTGACGATCAACACAGAAGGAAGTTATAGGAACTACAATTAAGGCCAAGCAGCAGGAGACGTGGCAACACCATGACGGCTGCGCTACAACTCGAAGACTGTGGCCAGTGGTATATAGCATAAAGACAAAACAACTAATTGAGCATAAAAAGAATCTAGTACGCATAATTGTTGGTGTCGTCATTGGAAACTGCCCCACGAGGGAAACCTCGTAAGATGGAAGATTTCCAACGACGACTACTGCAGAGAATGCAGAGAGAAACCGACTCTTCAAAACTTTAATACCCGGTTTTTTGGAGAGACTAGAGGAACCAGCAGAAGCCAACATCAGCGACATCGGGAACTTTGCAAAGAGCTGGAAGTACTTTAACATAATAGAGGGTTATCGCATTGGACCCAAGGCCTTCGAGTGAGGGATCAAACAGGATCCCAAACCCCAACAACCTAACCTAACCTAAGATCGAAGACGAATTGTGACAGGGTACGTGACGTTACCCGCGTTTCACTTAACCGAAACAACCCTGAGTAAAAGAGCAACCTTTATCCTCTAGTGCCAATTTTACACATAATGGTAATGTCCGAACCTACCTATAAAATGTCTATAATATAATTTATTTCATATAATGCCTGATTTGGAATCCAGTTTTTGGAATTTTATATAATACCTAGGAATTCTATAGAATGTCGGATTTCCCAACTTTGCCGGTAACATATACATATTTTTAACTTTAATGTTAAACCATATTAATGTTCAATCATGTAAACTTTTTCTGGTTATACTCAAAATCCCAGTGTTCATAAGAATCGTTTAAATTTTAGCTATATTTAAAATTTAAAAAATGTCTGAATATATTTTGGACCAAATACGTCGTATACACCGAATTTCTTCCTTTACTGCATTAAAATTTCTAATCACAAAACGGAAATAACCTTATTTGATGCGATGTCTGACTACTTATCGGATCAATAATCTCATCAGGTTTTTTTAAACGAATTTTTATTAGTCTCTGGTCTAGTAAACGGTTTAATGATATCGATTAAAGAAAAGTTGTCATCCAGGTAATATTTATTTTATACATAGAAAAAAAGTTATCTTATCAAAAACAATTTCCATAATGATTTATATGATTAAAGAAAACTATGACTTTAGAAAAAAAAAGTACCAGCCGGCTAACTTATGGTATTAAAATTTGCGATAATGCCTAGATACTCAAATATTTTTATTATGTTAGGAATCATATTTTAAACTCTACTGAGATTTTACATAAGACACGATCTAGATGAGTGGTGTTATCGAGTAAAGGCGTAGTAGGTCACATGTAAATTCTATAAAATACGCTTTAAATTCAACCGACTAGTACTGAGTAAGCTGTGGTCATATTCGTAATATCACTTATTACTTATAGCTTCTGGTCGTTGTTTCAGGTACAGTTCGGGTAACAGTACACCTAACAACAGCGTGCACACCAACTCACCTCCTGCCCCTTTCAGTACATTTGGTTATAATCGCAAAGATAACAGCAAGTTCAAAGCCGAAGCCAAGATCGAAATGCACCACGAGAAATCCGCCACTCCTATGTCCAAGTATGACAAAAGGTAAGATCATGTTTGTGTATACACACTAAAAAAACACTAGTTGTTTACAATATACTAAATTATTTTACTTTATTACACTGGAGGGTTAGAGCCTTTGGTGTTACAACTGCAAAATAAAACAGTTATTCACCACAATGCACAGTGCTTCGTCCCATGGACAAAAATCGAAAAATAAGTTAAAATTTACTAATATCTGGATATGTAATTTTACACTTATAGCAATGTTCAACCATCCTGTATATTATTTTTCATAAACAGCGTTTTTTGTTAGCAAATATTTTCACTAAAAATAAATTTTGCGATCATTATCTTAACAGTGAAAATAATAACATTCATAGTAGTTCTGCATATTATGGAGTTAAACGGTACGTACTTAATTGAAAACCACTATGGATATTGTTAAACAAGGTATGTACTTTAAATTTATTTCTAAACAAGTTCGTGATTGTTTAGTTTTTATTTATTTTTTAAGATGATTCTTAAATGGGTATAAAAATTTTACGTTTTCAAACTTCAAAAAGGCATATAAAAAAAACATATCAAAACATATGGTATTTATTGAATATTTTTTGTTGTCATATTCATACACTTTTAATTTTTGTATAGTTCACCTGCGTCTGCTTGCGACGAACTTTATTTTATAATACTTTTCAGATGGAGTAAAATTGATAAGCAATGCCGATATGGTTAATACTTGGCTTGATCATAAGGACAAGAACTCAAAATTATTTGTATTTCAAAAAATGTGTTCTTTATTAGATATTGATGAACCTTCCAGTCAAATGAGACACCACTTGAAATTCGTGCCTGAAAAAGTCCACTATGTTGGAGCGAAACGTCGCATAAAAAAAGTTTCCATCTTTCAATTTATTATAAAACCTCATACCCAAGAAAAGGAAAAAATAATATATGTATTAAAGAGGTATCTATTAACATCCGAACCCCTCATACCAACAAAAAGAACAGTAACAACGCGAAAAAGTAACATATTAAAAAATGATGTACAGAAATATCTTATATGTGAGGATACTTCATCTACCTGTGATTTGGATACTATAAATTTGGAAGATTCTGTCAGCAGTGATTCTTCTGAATCAGAGTAGTTACGATCTATGCATTTTGTTGTCCTAAAGTAAATTTATAGTATCTTAAGTTTTTTTTTTAATTAAATATAACATTAATGTTTCTTTTTCATTAAAGAAAAATATTTTTATCTTATATTAGGCTTTTATTGTAGGAATCATGTTCTAATGTTATTTCAATTCTTTTTTATCACAGGAATTTATTTAATACTTACACCGTTTTCATACTATAAATTATTATTTGCTTAGATGGAACACAGCTCCAACATTTTTATTATTTATAAGATTTTTTTTTCATAAACGTGGGACTAAGAACATCATCATTTAATACAATGAGAGTACTCATCATTTGTGTCAAATAAACCTAGTTTGAATAAATTGCCTACAATGAAAGAGAAGTTTTGGATTTTTGTCCTCTAGAGCCATATGTTCGAAGCACTGTGCAATGCACCAAAACTCTTTACTTTTAACACTGGACGCGTTTTGCTAACCAGGTTAGTATCATCAACAGATGATTAAAACTAATTTAAACATTGCTAGCGAAACACGGTACTTTTTTACTTTATTTAGTAGTCGGTACTTTTTTACTTTATTTAGTAGTCGGTACTTTTTTACTTTATTCGATAGAAAATGACACTTTGAATAAAATGGCATATATTATATGGCAACTTTTGACCTTTTCGCTAAAAAAATAGTATTTTAAATTTCAATATAGAATGTCATAACTGTATTAAAATCCCTAATTTTAATCAAGATGCCTTGGAAAAATAGGTTTGATTGTTTATTGTCGTTCGCGTCTTGTCCTTGCCAGTTAAAAGATGCCAAAATCGTATTTTTAATCATATCTCAATTTTTTCAAATGAAACGAGGTTGGCTCATTAGCATATTTAGAAAAAGCATTTTTACGAATAATTTGGTTTGGTAGATATTAAAATCGCAATCGCAGGTTACAGTCGCTGCGATTTGAAAAGCACATTCGCAGTTTCAATTGCGATTGGAGAATCGCAGTTTTGCTCATCTCTACTCTAGATTGAAATTTAAAATACAATTTTTAAGCGAGTTTGTCAAAAGTTGACATATTGATATGTCCAGATATATCATTCTATTGAGAGTGTCATTTTCTATAGAATGAAGTAAAAAAATACCGAGGGTGTCATTTAAAAATTATAAATTATGTAGTAATGATGTATAAAGATGTAGTAATTTCCGGTGAAACAGGAAGTGATCGTAAACAAATAAATGAATACGTCAATCCGAGGAATTTATGTCATATGCCAAAGTACCTGGAAACCTGGAAAATTAAAAAAGTGTTAGCCAATCTATACTAATATATAAAATTCTTAAGTGACTGACATACTGAGTAATCACGATCCTGCTCAAACCACTCAACGTAAGAAGCTCAATTTTGGCATACAGGTTGATTCTAGGGTGTAGAGGTTCGATAAGAAGGGATTTTTCGAAATTCCATTTCCAAGAAGGTAAAACCATCCCTCAAATATTACAATATTTTTTATTTAAAAAACGGTCAAGTTTCCGAAAAAACGCTTAAACAAGTATATTTTATTTTGTTTTTTACATATTTTAAGATTTTTTAAAAATGTATACAGGGTGTTTCGAAAAATCTGATCATTGATTAATCACAATCCTGCTTAAAACGCTTGACGTAAAAAGCTGATTTTTGGAAACCAGATTGACTTTAGGGTGTAGAGGTTCGATAAGAAGGGATTTTTCGAAACTCGAATTCAAAGGGGGTGAAACTATCCCTCAAATATTAAAATATTTTTTTTAAAAACCTGTGAATTTTTCGGAAAAACTCTTAAACACGTATATTTTATTTTGTTGTTTTACATATTTTAAGATTTTTTATAAATTTATACAAGGTGTTTTATAAAATGATCATTGAGTAATCACGATTCTGCTTAAACTGCTTGACGTTTACAGCTGATTTTTGGCAAACGGATTGACTGTGCGGTATAGAGGTTCGATAAGGAGGGGTTTCTCGAATCTCAAATTCGAAGAGGGTGAAAACGCCTCTCAAATATTACAATATTTGTTATTTAAAAAACGGTTAGTCTTTCGGGAAAACGCTTGGACAAGCATAATTTATTTGGTTTTGTTACATATTTTGAATTTTTTTAAAAAATCATACCTACAGGGTGTTTTAAAAAGTTGGGTAATTTCTTAACCACGATTCTGCTTAAACTGCTTGACGTAAAAAGCTTATTTTTGGCAAACGGATTTTTCGAAAGTCAAATTCCAACGAGATGAAACTACCCCTCAAATATTACCAAGTTATATAATAATATCGCCATATTGTTTTTTCTCATGCTGACATAAATGTGAAAAAATTTTATCCAGTTTGTATGTTAATGGAAATTCTTGCTTTGCTTTATCATCACCATTACAAATGATTAATTCGACGCGAACGAAGTCGCTGGTACACGCTAGTTATAATATAAATAGAGTTGAGCCTATTTTGAGAAACACTTGGATTTGGATTTGGAAATGGCAACTGCAGCCCGGAAGATTTCCGCAGATGAGCGTTCAAACCATCTCGTTACATCTTTTAGCCATGTGTTCTGGCGTCTTCCTACTGATCTTTTGTCTTGCTTGCACTTTGCCCTCTATTATGAGGCGCAGTATTTCGTATCTATCACCTCTCATCACATGACCCAGATATTGCATTTTTCTTTCCTTGATGGTGTTCAGTATCTCTTTTTGTTTCTGTATGAGCTGGAGTACTTCATCGTTGGTGATCCTTTGTACCCATGAGATTCGCAGCATCCGTCTGTACACATACATTTTCGGTCTGTGAATTTAGTGTCCAGCTTTCACGTCTATAGATTAACACAGATAAAACGTAGCATCTGGCCATTCGAGTTCTGAGTTCCGCACTGAGCTCTTGTCTTATAAAAAATGATTTCATATTCACAAAGTTTTTTCTCGCTTGCTCAATTATTGAAAATATTTCTCTTTTCGGGTCGCACTGACTATTGATGTTAGCTCCTAAATACTTTACTGAGGTCACTTGTTCGATTGTTTGTCCCTTGATACACAGGTGTGTTTGCAGTCTTAGAAAAGGCCAATAGTTTGGTCTTGGAGACATTGAGATGCAGTCCAAACATCTCACTATAAACCATGTATCTCTCATCAATGTAAAAACCGAATTATTCTGTTGTCAAATATCTAATTTAACTTACTTTGGATTGTTTTACCATTGTATGATACGTTATTACCATTAATCTTGAAAACACAGTTGCCTTCATCCCGGAAACACAGAGACCTTGTCCCAATCGTTATTTGCATTCCAAACAGCTCGATACGAAGACCTGTTCATCATCCGCGAGACCGAATGCGTATAATATGTTAATTCTTCGACGCGTTACTTAACATTCATGCCGTTTGCTAGACTTGTAAATAACTTGGCGTACACACGTCATAAAGCGTCAAGATAATGGCGTGTAAACAGTGGCGTAGCAGGAGATGGATACAGGTAAATATTTATAGGGGGAAGCGAGTACGTGCCGGAGCTGAATTCAAATGATGTGGTGGTGGGCGCACCGTCACGGTGTTCGTTCTCGTTTGGACCGGAAATGTTGCTAGTCGTTGTAAATAACTTGGATGTATTTGAATTTTTCCATCGTGGGGGTTAAATCGAGCTATTTTAAATGTTCTTTGAGGTTGTAAAAATTCTAGTGAGATGAATAAAATCACTGAGTCGTTTAAAGTAATATACAGGGTGGTCCGAACTGTATTCCGGAATCTTCGGTGACATATTTTGCAGATAAAAATAAGTAAAAAAGTTCGTATAAATGTATGTCCTAAAATGCTTAATTTCGGAGATACAGGGTGTAGAAGTTTTATTTTTATAATGCTTTTTTCCAAAAAACTTCTGGAGTAACGTCAATATTTGGATGG